CCTATTTTCGGAAACCCCCATGTACACCTCGAGCCTGGCATGCATTCATACATCCGGTTTGGGCAGTCAGATTGACCCTAAACCCACACGTAGATGCACGTCCCTGAATATGGGGCCTGTGGGTGTGCTGTGACTAATCATTCCTAAACTATCAAAACATACAATAAAACCCGAGACAGTCGCAGAATTCACCACGAGCGAAACGCAGATACGCGGGCCTCTTTAGAGTATGGTCTTCAGGGCGAACCACGATCATCGCATTGTCATTAAAATAGGGAGCATACGGAAATGCTATTAACAATTACTGAGTTTTCAGACCTTTGTGCAGTAAGGCACTTTGGGGGAAGCTCCTTCGGTCAACAAGAGCCACAGACACGGCTCTTACAAGTAGAATATTGTTCCGGAAGGATTGAGTTCTCAATCTGCGTAAATGTGTGTAACATGGGTCTTCGTAAGTAGAATATGGGTCTTCTTAGATCGAAAATGGGTCTTGATAAGTCAGCTGTAGGTCTGAATAAATCATGTGACCATGTTGGGCACCATATTATTCCACAGCTGCATCTGCAGGGAACCCGGAAGACACTACGACTAGTTGTTCAGGCCTCTTTTGCTAGATAATCACTGTCGAAAACGTGTGACGAAACCGTGGCACGTCTTGGGGCACTACTAGGGATCTGGAGCCCAGCCAGCCGTGGAGCCAACTGTGACACGGCTTGCTACCCTTCTAGCCGTGTGGAGTTTAGGAGCTCAGGAGTTTAGGGCTTTGACATGTTTTGAGTTTGTCTGATCAAGAATACATGTACAATATGGCGTTCCATTCTTGCAGTTGTCAAACGATTCGAGTTCCTTTGATGGACACCTGGCGTGCTCAAACGAAACCTCGAAGCCCAAACCCAACACACCAAGATGTCTAACTGTCTAGGCCCTAGGCACTATAGGGTTTCCTGCACCTAGGCAGGCTGGCTACAGTACCTACTCATCTGCGACGAGTTTATCCGAGCATCAGTCTCGGATGGCATGGACATCTTCGCGTGCGGGCAGGGTTCCGAAGTGGAGCCGAGATTGCGGCACATAAAGGCCATGAGGAGATGTAGAATGTCTGGCAGTTGGGAATATTCTAGAACAGTTGCATAAGGGGGTTAGGAAGATGCAATGATTATTACCCAATCATCAAAGCTCCACTCTCCGAGGTTTTGAAGTTATCGGATTTAAAGCTAAAGGTGCAGGCTGGGGGTTAGCGGTTCAGACTTCTGCGAGCACCTCGGGATTCGGGATCCCCCACGAGAACTCGATCAGGTTGGGGGTTGCTGAGCTCCAGTTTACGTTGCTTGGCTGCTTAGCTTTCAGTCTGATATGCGGAACCTCCCTCCTCCTAAACCCTAACAGACCTTCCTGTTCTTGATATTGGGCCAAAACCCCAACGAAGCTTCCTGTTACCCTAAACCCTAAACCC